TGTCTGTCCCATTGAGGGTCTCCAGGCCCTCAAGAAATCCATCCACACCCCCATTGAGCATGGCGGCAGAGAGCCGCGTGAGCTCATCCCTGGTGCTGGGGCCATGGCCCCTTTGGACCTCGGTGACGGCCTGCAGGTTGCTCTCGAGGCTGTCCATGCGGGCACTGACCGAGGCTAGCTGGCTGCAGCAGCTGCCCCTACCAGCCACGCTCAGGCCCTGCAGCCGGGTGCCCAGCTGTGAGAGCTCCCGGCGCAGGGCCAGCTCCCGGCCATCCAGGCTCTGGTGCAGCCTCAGGCTGGCCGCCTGACCTTCCTCGCACTGCTGCCGCACCTCCTGCACCCGCAGGTCGCATGTGCTCTGGATGCCTTGCAGCTTCTGCTCGAAGCCATCCAGCAGGCTCCCCCAGAGTTGATGCAGCCGTCGGTCCACATATTCGTCCAACAGGGCCAGGGAGGTGAGCGGAGATGGGGGCGCCTCCCGAAGCTGCTGCAGGCGGGCCTCGTGGCCGAGGGCCAGGCCATGCACCTCGTCCAGCAGCTGCACCTTGGTCCGCAGTGTGTTGCTCACCTCTGTCACCTTGCTCAAGATCTCGTCCAGAGGAGGTGTGAGTGGCCTTCCAGCTCTGTCTCCAGGGTTCACAAACCCCTCGGGGATGCCTCCAAAGCCCACCTGGGCATCGGGAGCTCTGGGGCCACCGGTCATCCTGTTGGGGTCCTCGTGGCTGGCCACCAGGCCGCTGAGGGTACCATATGCTTGCGCCAGGCGCTGGACATCACCCTCCAGGCGTTCCAGCCGCTCACCAAACAACCCCAGGCCTTTCCTTCCTGGGAAAGAGAAGGAGAGAACCCCGGGGCGGGATCACTGGCCTGGCTCTCTCAGCTTGTCCTGGTACCAAGCCACCTGATTTTCTGTTCTAAGCCAACCTTGCTGGGCATAGCTCTGTCACTTTGGGGAGGGGGCCTGAGGGCTCGCCCTTTTGCTCAGCACAAGATGCACTCTCCCTAGCCCTGCCCAAGCTCAGCTAGCTTGGGGTCAGTCCCCTTCCCACCTCCCCCAAGAAACCCAACCACCTTGGTAGGGTCTCCATGGGCAGACTCACCGTAAGGGCTGGGGGTGGCTCTGCTAGGAGGGGGCCTGGGGCCTGGGCTCAGCTGCCCGGAGGGAATCTGGGGCTCAGGCTCCGACTGGGGTGGGGCAGCCCCGTGGTCTGTGAGGTGCTCAGGGCAGCCTTCTCCAGTGAGCCCAGGGCAGCAACGCCAGGAGAGTTCCGTCACCTTCTTGTAGCCGACCTTGTATTTGGGTCTGAGCACTGTGCGGTACCTGGGCCAGGGATGGGGAGAGAGCAGGGCTCTGTGTCTGTGGGCTGAGGCGCCTGCCTCCTGGCAGGTGACCTTGCCCCTGGCTGGTATTCAGGCCACTCTCAGACACTTAGATATAGTCTAGGTGTCTCCCTGCCTCCACCACACCCCCAGGGGTATCCTTCCTGTGCTGAAGGCGACAGGGCTGAGGGATGGAAGCAGGCCTTGCCAAGGCTCAGAGATGGGCTAGGGGAACGCAGGAAAAGAGGAACAAGAATTTAGCCCCAAGGCTCCCAGGGTCACCTGGACACCCTTGAGCTCATACTGCCGTCAGAAATTTCACTGTGGTTTTGGTGGGACCTTGAAGAATTCTGACAAAGGTGTACTGCCCTGGAGCTGGGCAAGCAGCTCCTCTCACTGCCCGGGGGCCACTCTGAGCTCCCATCAGCTCCCCCTTCTCTCCACTCCTTCCTACCCTACTCTGGAAACTCAGCTCTGGTGATGGAGGCTGGTGACAAGGTACCTCTGATTTTGAGCACAGCGGTGAAGGGCCAGGTGGAAGGCAGAGCAGGGGCCACTCCCTCAGCTGTTCACCCACTGAAGGCATGACTGGGGCACGTGCCCAAGGATCCCAAGTTCACAGGCTGTATTCAGACCTGCATTTGAACCTCTCCAAGTACAGACCTGAGCACCCCACCTATGGGGGATATACCACACATCCTCACTTGGCCCCATCTGGCCAGTCTGAGGCCCCTGGCTGGTATTCAGGGCCACTCTCAGACACTGGATACAGTCTAGATGTCTTCCTGCCTTCATAACACCCTGTCACCTTCCTTTCCTGTGCCAAAGGTGACAGGGCAGAGAGATGGGAGCAGGCCCTTCCCATACCCTCACCCCTGGCCTGCCTTCTCCACATCACCACAGCCCTCCTTGAGTCTGCCCGGGGCCCCTTTGGCATCAACCACTGCCAGTGTGACCCTCTGCTCTCCCCTGTGCCCCCCACCCCCAACCCTTGTCCCTGCTTCTTCCTTGCCTGGTGCTGCCTCTCCCCTAGAAACCCTCCCCTGGTGCCCCTGTGGGTTCTGACCAGATCAGCCTGCCCCTGATTCCTCCCTGGCCCCTTCCACCCGGCTGGTGTGGGCTCTAAGAGAGTTGAAGCCCTTGTAGAGCTGGCTGCTGCTCTCAGCTTAAGGCAGGCCTGGGGCATGGGCCCAGGGATCCTGAGTGGGTGGGATGGGGGTGCACTCACGTGACTGTCCCGGGGCACTTGGGCCCCCATCCACACTGCCGGTACTCAGCCTTTATGTAGCTCTCTGCTCCCTCCTGTAGGACACAGGTCACATTCCTGTGCACCACGTAGGCGCAGAGGGCCCTGCAGGGGAGAATGGCATCCTTGGAATATCTGGCCTGGGCTGGGCCACTGAAGCTCCTATACCCCCTCCTCCATCTGTAGGCCTCAGCAGATGTGACCCCATCTTTTCTCCTTATTGCTGGGAGCCAGGGCCCTGGGCCTGGGGTCCCGCCCACCGCTGGTCTTGCTGGTTCCAGCCTCTCCATTGGGTTGGTCACTGGATTCAGCTCTGTACTGAACCAGGAGTCTGGTGCAGCTGCCCTTCCCTGGTCTGACCTCTGCCCTCCCTGCCTGGAGAAGAGACCCACCCTGGATTCCCCACCGAGGGCTTTGCCACATTCCAACTCCTTCACTGGCTCTCACCTCCTCACCTTAGCACTGGAGGTGTCTGAGGTCTCAATATAGTTCACGAGGCCTTTGAAATCACCCTTCTCTCTTCCTCCCGTGACTGACTCCTGGGGCAATGCATCCACCTTGTACCTTTCTGCCCCCTGCCTCTGTTCTGGTTTCTCATCCCCAGATCACTTCTTCTACCGCTTCCTCCAGGAAGCCTGCTCTGATGTGCCCAGGCCCACTAAGTGTCTGCTATTGGCCGACACTCCAATACCTCTGAAACGCATCTAGAGTTCAAATGCTAGCATCCCAGGCAGAGCCCCTAACTCACCTGGAGACCAGTTGGCATGCTACTGCCTAAGAAAGACCAGAGGCTGAGACAGGGGAGGGGCAACAACCTCACTTACCGGCCACAAGGGCTGGGGTGGTGGCTGCCTGGCATAAACCAGCCACCTGTGGACTGCTGTGGAGCTCTGGAGCCACAACATGAACCCAGGACCCAGGAGTCCCAACTAGCTCTGTGGCCCACCCACGTTGGGGCTGCCAAGGGGCTGCTGGGGCCCAGCTGACGGAGGGAAAGGGCGGGCTGCCGGGAGCAGGGCTAGATCTCCGACCTGATGGGGCAGGGGAGTAGTCGAGGCCCGCGGTGTGTGTGTGTGTGTGTGTGTGTGTGTGTGTGTGTGTGTGTCAGTCAGAGAGAGAGAGAGAGAGAGCCCCGCGTGCGGACCGCCCTCCCTCCCTTCCCTCCACCTGGTCCGCTGCGTCCGGGTTGCACACAGCGCAGCTGGAAAATGTTACTTCGCTGGAAAGGTTTCCGCGGGCACTGCCAGGA